CCCCTACCCAATCCATAGCTCCAGGTGCATATATCCTGTTCATTGGACATCTTTGCCCAGACCCTTTGGTGAGGCTCAGAGAGGGAGAGCAATTTGACCACCGTTACCCAGCAAGGCAGGGCAGAGCAGGGCAGGAGTCCAGGTCTTCTCACTCTCAGTGGTCAGAGAGCCCCTCCCCACCAACCCCTGCCACGATGCTCTGCTTCCCCATTTGTCTCTGTTTTCAATGACTTAGTATTTATTTATTGATCACCTACTATGCATCTGACCCTGAGCTGGGCCCTTCTTCTCCCCAGCTTCCTTGACTCCACCCCCCCATGTCACCCTCATACTGCCCGTGGGTCAGGAAGCAAACGGCCCCCAGCTGCAATGCCTCCCTGTCCCCAGAAGGCCCCGAGCCTCTCACCTGCTCCCCGATCGAGGTGTGGACTCCCGCGGGGAAGCTGTCCACGTCTGGCCACAGGGCACAGGCCTCCAGCACTCGCTCCAGCCACGTGGGGTCTAGCTCCTGCCCGAAGCACACGTTCTCCACCACAGAGGTGTTCTGGACCCAGGCCTCCTGGGGCACGTAAGCCACGGGACCCTAAAACAAACTCACTCTGGCCATAGGACGACAACGGGGACAGAGGCAGGAGCGATTCTGAGAAGCAGGGGAGCTGGGCTCTTGGTGGTGGGCGGGAGGCGGAGAGAGTGATGGAAGTGAGCTTGGCTGGCAGGAACGGGGAGGCTGCAGGGAAGAGGGACTTTTGGGATTGGGGACTTCCCAGCAGACAGGTGGGGGTGGCCTCACCTTGATGCTCACGGACCCTTCCACCTTTGACAGCTCCCCGAGGAGGGCAGAGAGCAGGGAGGACTTCCCTGCCCCCACGGGACCAACGACCGCCAGCAGACAGCCCTGGGGCACGGTGAGGTTTATCCTGGCAACCCAGGAGGGGAGACGTGTCCCTGGTTAGGGCCCAGCCCGCGTTTGTGCAGAAAGGGTGAGCCCCAGACGGAGCCAGGCGTTCCTGCTGCCGTCTGCTCTGGGAGGTCCCTTCCTCGTGGGGGCATTGCTTCCCTCTCCCAGCCCTTGTCTGGCTATTTGAGCAGTTTTCCTGCCCACATCTGTGTGCGTGCACATTGGCACTCTCACATGAGTATGCATACCCGCGTGTGCACACGTGTGCACGCATACAAAGTACATGCACATTGCAAACACACATACATGCATGCCCACTCGTGCGCACACACAGTTGATTGTGGCCTGAGGGTTTAACCTGGACAGCCTCCTGCCTCGGCGCTTGCAATAGGTTCCTCCCTGCCTTCCTGGCTTCTGCCCTCGCCTCAGCTCGTGTCCCCCAGCCCATCCTCCACCCAGTGGCAAGAGGGATCTGTTAAAACCCAAGTCGGATCACGAACTTCCCAGCTGAACCCCTCCAGCATCCCCACGTCGTTCAGGGTCAAAGCCAACGTCCAGCCTCCTGCTCGGTGCCTCGGACCTCCTCAGTGTTTCTTACACAACACGCCAGTGGTTCGCAACTGGGGATGATTTTTGTCCCTCAGGGGTCATTTAGCAAGGTCTAGAGATATTTTTGGTTGTCACAATTGGTAGGGGGTGCTTCTGGCATCTAGGGGGAAGAGACTAGGGGTCCTTCTAAACATTCTATACTGCATAGGGTGACTCCACAACAAAGAATTTCAGCCCAAAATATCAACAGTGTGGAGGTGGAGAAACCTGAATCTAGGCACGCTCCTGCCTCAGGACCTTTGCACTTGCCATTCCCACTGCCTAGAAAGCTCTTGTCCCGATAACTGCAAGGCCCATGCCTTTGATACAATCGCAGCTTGAGTGCCTCCCCTTGCCTCACCGGACAAACCATCTCGCTCTGTCCCCTTGCCCTTGTTTCCCATTTGGGCCCCACCCCTCATCAGAATATCACCCCAAGAAAGCAGGGCCTTTGTCTGTTTTCTTCACTTTAACCCGGTGCTGAGCACAGGGCCTGGCACGCAGTGAGTGCTCGATAAATCCTGTGAACAAGTGAATGGCGTTTGATACAAAGGCTGCCCAGGGTACGTTCTTTCACTTCTTGTGGAGTTTTGGGCCACAAAGCCCCAGCCACAGAGTTGGGGGCTGGAGGCGACAGTGATCTCGAGACTGACACAGGAGGCACAGAAGTGGGCACAGCTGATGGGGCCAGCGCAGGAGCAGAGTCGTGTCTCCCTCCCTGTCCCCACCACGGGGAGGCTCCGATGCCCTGTCCCCCAACCCACAGGAGCTCTCGCTTCCCCAGCACTCTCTCCACCAGGGCCAGTTCTGGCAACATCCCGGGCAGAGCCCCAGCCCAGCCCCCGCTCCAGCCCGGGCTGGAAGCCTGTGCCATCTCTCAGGCAGGAAGCCCCGGGCCCCTCCTCCCTGTGAACGGGAAGGCAGTCACCAGAAGGGTCATTCTGTACCTGTGGAGGCAGGGAGGCCCTTCCCGGGACCAGACGAAGGTGCCATCGCGTACCGTGATGCAGTCCTTCCCGGCAGCTGCAGGGCACAAGAGGCTGGTTACAGGAGACCCCCGCCTGGCTGGCCCCTTCACCTGTGAGACCCTCCCAGGCCCTGCCCCCCAGGGGTGGCAGGAAATCTCTCCCACTGAACAAACTGTCCTGCGACTCGTCGGCTGTGCGTGACCCTGCGGTGGTACCATTCTTTCCGTGTCCCCTTGACATATATACAATTCAGGGGGAAGCAAACCATGGCCCAGGGACCAGATCCTGCCTGCTGCCTACTTTAATAAATAAAGTTATATTGGAACATGGCCACACCCACGCATTTATATATTTGTGCTGCGGTGGCAGAGTTGGGCAGTTGTGACAGAGACTATGTGGCCCACAAGCCTAAAGTCTGTACAAGCTGGTCCTTCACTGAAAAAGTCAGTAGACTTCCGATATAACTTATCATCCAACCCAGGCCTGCAGAAAGTAAAGAGGGTGTTGTTCATCTCACTGGGACAACAGGAATAAATAGGCACATGTGGTCTCCTCGCCTCCCTGGGTCTCAGACTTCATCTGTACGATGAAGGAAGAATCGGATTCGTGGTTCTTGATCCTGAATGCATATCTGGAATCGCCCCGACAGATTTTCAAAGCTCTCCACAGCTGAGCCCAAATCAATGACATCGGAATCTCTCAGGGACGGGCCTGAGCAGCCGGTATACTTAAAAAGCTCCCCAGATAGTTCAAAGAGGGAGCTAGACAGCCACTGACACTCCGCAAGGTCTCCAGGGACGGTTGTCGGAAAATGCAGGGTGCCCAGTTAAATCTGGATTTCAGATAAATAATGAACGCTTTTTTAGTATAAGTATGCCCCCCAAAATATGGCATAGGACGTACTTACATGAAAAAATTATCCAGTTTATCTGAAATTTATCTGGGCATCCTGTATTTTCATTTGAGAATCTAGCTACCTTACTCTGGGGGCTCATCTTCTCTTAATATCCTGAGCTGTGGGGATTTTGCTTGTCCTTTGTTTCCCCATCTGTAAAATGGGTGGATCACAGAAGCTCCCACGTCATCGGGTTGTCATGAGGGTGAGACAAGCTCGTTACTATATAGAGCACTTCCCTACCCAGCTTTATCGAGCTACAACTAACAGAAATTACACATATTCAAGGTACACGACGTGGTATTTGACAAACGTGTACACTGAAATGACTACCACGATCAAGTGAATTAACATATCCTCTGCCACAATTAGTTACTACTTTGTGTGTCTGGGTGCGGTGAGGACCCCGAAAGCTACTCCACACGGAGCACTCTGAACCGTGCTGGCATGTGACACGGTGAGCTCAACATTCGCTGCTGTGTATGAATCTTTCTCTCATATACCTTTGGGGGCACGAGCAGGGACCTTGGGAGAGTGCGAGGCTCTGGCTCCAGGCAGGTGACCACGTGTGTCAAAGTTGTGGACAAAAGAACACCCAGGGGTCTCTGGCTGAGGATCACGTGGTCCTCCAGTGGCAATGATGGCTCGGTCGTCAGGGACCCCTGGCTGGTGATTAAGCAACTCCTGGAAGCCATGCGCTTCCTGTCCCTTGTGTGGTCCTCCAGAGGGTCCTGTCAGAGGTGGGACACCAGCCTGGAGGGCAGGAGTTACTTCCCAGGGCCATGCCGTTGGGAGTGATGATCTGGGATTTGAACCCAGAGCCTGGGTCTGAACCCCCGAATCACATTAGCTTCACTGAACAAAGCTGTGCACAGCTGAGAATGTGTCAGAGCTCTGAGTAGTCTCCAGAATACCAATTTTGGGTTACTTAAAGGCCCCTTTGCTAACTTCTGGGTTTTTCCCTAATCATAATTAGAATAATAACTAAAATGCACTGAAGACCAACTTTGCGTGGGGCCCTGTTCTAAGTGCTGCACTTAAACGAACTTATCTGACCCTCACAGCAACCCTATGCAATAGATGCTGTGATGTTTGTCGCGCCCATTTTGCAGATGGAAACACTGAGGCTCAGGGAGATCAACCACTTGCCAAGGTCACCCAACGAAACAGTACTGGGGCTGGGATTTGGACCTGGGCAGTCCACCACGCAGCTGTTTTCCAGGTAAACAGGTTGGCCAGATTCCTCATTAAAAGAAAGGAAGGAGGTCTTCACCCGGTGACGGGTCCCCTCCCCCTGCAGCAGTTAATGTCACTAGACCCACAGGCGTAGGGTGAGAAATGCAGGCAGCGGCGCGGGGAAGCCCAGCCAGCTTAAGCTTGGCAAGTCTCAGTACAAAGGTACGCGCGACTCTGATGTTATTTTTCTAGCTTGACAAAAACGTTGCCACGCTTATCACCCGAGACCTTCTGCAGGACGGCAAAGCCCTGGGCTGTCAGAGCGTTCAGTGCCGTATACCCAGAACGGCACACAGCAGGTGCTCAATGAGTGGTGGCTGAACCACCGGCAGAGAGGACAGCGGCATGATGCCTGTTTCCGAGTGACACGCAGATGGCGCGACCTGCACGTGCCAGCCCCGCGACCTCCCACCCCCCCCAACCCAGCACTCACAGCATCCAGAGGGACTCGGGTCCACGGCGCCAGGGTCCACTTCTTCCAGGCAGAGGAAGGCGGCCAGACGGTCAAAGGACACTCGGGCCTGGGGAAACCGCAGCCCAGGTCACCCGGCCAGAAGAGCTAGCCGAGGACCCAGGCTTCAGGAGTCGGGTGTCTCGAGACGCAAGGCACCGGCTTCCTGTCTACCAGGCTCCGCGCGTCTGCAAGGCGTCGGGACAAAGCTTTCTAGGTCAGGGGAATCGACGCACATCGAGGCGGCGACAGGAAGGCAGTGGTCATCTCCCGCCTCCCTGCGCCTCACAGCTGCGTTGGAACAACCTGCCGTTCTGCAACTGAGACCTGGGGAGGGGCGGCTGGTGGCTTTTCCAACAGCGTCATCAAGCGATTACACGGGACGATTTCAAACCTCGTCCCCCTGGGGGCGCCCTCTGCGCTCCGACCACAAACCCCTCTGGCTGAGGAAAGAGCGGCCGTTGAAGTGCGGGTGGCTCGGCTATGCGGCCACCGCTCGCCTGGGGCGCAACGTGAAAAGACTGTAGACAGTAAGGACAGACAGACAGACAGAATTGCTCTGCGCAGAAAAGGCAACGGGAACGGATTCTCGCACGTGGAGCTGCTGGACGGACGAACCTGCGTGTCCCGAGGGTGGTCGCCGAGGTCCCCACGCTGCCCCCGGACGAAGGCTGCCTCCTTCCTGACGTCTGCCCGCCGCACTCCCTGCCCCGCTTGCCCCTTCCAGTGCGCACCTGTCTCCCTGTCCGTCCTCCTCCTCCTCCTCTGGGGACCGACAAAGCGCCCCCCCAAGATGGCCCCGCCCTCCCGCCCGCCGCACCTGGACCACGGAGTGGATGGAGAAAGGCAGGAACGCCTGGGCCTTGTTGAGGATGTTGAGAACCGTGAGGGTCACAAAGGCTTTCTCTGTGTCCATGGCGTTCTCCTCGGCCACCAGAGTGTGCACGGCAAACACAACCAGTGCGACCTGGGGGACACACGGGGCGACCGTGAGAGGGCAGAGGGTGGCTAGGAGGGCCTGGCAAGCCGTGGCGCCTCCGGGTGCCGCATGGCCCACCCGCGGCGTCTACGTGGGCTCCCCTCCTGAGCCCCACTAAGCCCAGGCCCCTCCCGGGTCACGAGCCACAGGTTCCCTCCAAACACGCCAGCCTCAGTGGAGGGGGTGAGCATGCAGCCCCACGGCTCTGGGCCTTGCAAACTCTTGGTTCCACGCATCAGGGGACCTTGCAGCTCTTGGTCTTGGTAACATTTTTGTCCTTCTAGACACAGGTGGGACTTGTGACCTAGGATCCCTTGGAAGTTGCAGGTGGCAGCACTTGAGAGCTCCAGGCGTTGGTGGCATTTGTGGTTCTCAGTGTCACTAGGGGATGGCTCAGTTCCGGGTGTCGGTGGTGTTTTGGTTCTAGGTGTTACTTGATGATATAATAGTCACTCGGTATGAAGGTCACTCAGCGTGACAGGCACCGGTATGATGGTGACCCAGAGATCCTATCCGGGGAGTGAAGGAGCTCAGGAAATTTCACTCCAAAATACGACTCCTTGGTATAAAGAGCATTTGGAATTAAAGGCCCTTAGAGACCAACGGGCCCTTGGAAGGGGCTTTCTCTCTATCTGTGCAACCAGACAGACCCACCAAGAGAATGATCCTCTTTCCTTCCCTCCCTGTTATCTCGCTACATTGTAGGAAGGAAAATCAAGGATGCAACCAGCCCTGGCCCAAATTAAATGCCTGTCTCTCAAGGTTAATTTTAATTTGCAAAGAGAATCACTTACACGTCAGTTTCCCCATCCACTCATCCTCCCTAGCAACCATTTATTGTCCCTAAACAGCATGACCTAAACTGCTCACCTCCCCCTCCCCGCTAAAAGGAGGTATAGAAATATCCGGATCCCACTGGGATATCAGGTAATCACTCTGCGATTTTCCCCCCAGCTCACGGCAAATAAACCTCTTCCTCTTACTAATCTGCCTGCATCTCGAGTCGATCTTCCAGTGAACTTTCGGGGCACAGGGGAAGTTTCCCCTCGGCCCTCCTGGTCCCAAGCAATGGTGCTCGTGGTTCTGAGTGTCGGTGGTGTAGGTGACGTCCCCTGTGGTTCTAGATCCCCATGGAAATGGCCGCACCATCCCACGGTGGCACGTGATACCTGGAGCCCCCAGTGCTGTTGCCACCTGCAACTTCCCCGGGATCCTAGGACGCCAGTCCCCCCCGTGTCTGTCTACTGCACGTCTGCACGTCAGGCCAGCTTGTCACCGGCTGTGAACGTCTCATGAAGAGTTTAGATTTTATCCTGGAAGCCGTGGCGACTCATCGCAGATCGCAGGGGCATGGCTGAAGTCAAAGCTGTGCTGTGGTTAACCTGGCAGCGATCTTTGGAATAAATTAGAGGATGACAGGACAGGCACCACGTGCAGAGAAATGGCGGCTGCAGACACCGGCGGCCGGCGTCGGGGACGCGCAGACGATTTGGGATTCTATGTCTGCAGCTCCCTGCACCTGTAACCTCCTCTCCGCGTTGGTAGAAGCAGCAGTTCCAGATGCCTGGAACTCTGAGAGGATGACAGGCCTTCCCACCACGGCCACCTTCGGGGGAAGGATCTGAGTGGTGGGCGCACGCAGCAGACAGCACAGCATCCGAGAGAACAGGTGCAGGACAGGGACGTTTTGAGGGACGGGGCGGTGGGATCTGGGGCTCCCCCTACTGCACCCCCCCCCCAGCTCGCTCCCTGGTCATGCTCTGCACGGAGCCCAGAGTGACATCACCAGAAACGTGGACACTTGGAAGGACACCAGAGACACGGAGAAGAGGAGGCCAGAGGTCTTCAAAGCACGCAGCTCCCGGGCCCGGACGCGCAGGACTCTCTCCAGGAAGGCCTCCTCCCAGCCGTGGGACTTGACGGTCCTCGCGCTCCTGAGGATGGAGCCGGTGAGCCGGGCCCGCGAGTCCTTCTGCCTCATTTGCTCTTCCTGGGACACGGGAGGGAGGAAAAGGGGCCAAGACAGGGACAGTCTGGACTTCTCCCCTGCAACCCCTTCAGCAAGTCCTGCTGATTCTCTCGCCAAGCCGTGTCCCCCACCTGCCTGCTTCCCGGCACCTCTGCCCCTCAGCCCTGCTCCGGCCACTGTCACCGGACTGTCACATGAACCCCTCCATTTGCTCCCTCCCTTCTTCCTGCCTGGCCCGTCCCTTCCTCCAAAGGCCAAACCTGATGGTGGTTCCTCTTCTTGGTGATGAAGAAGTTCAGAGGGAGGAGGCTCAGGAAGACAGCGATGGCAGTGAGGGCGGAGGGGCCCAGGAGCTGGGGACAGAGGGGACAGGACGTCTGAGACCCCCAGCAACCCAGCTGCAGACCAGCTGTAGGGATCTGGCCAGACTTGGGTCCTAAGACAGGGGATGTCAGGGACTCTGATAAGAGTGGCCACCTGGCCATGGGGGCCGGAACTCAGGAGAATGTGGTCTGTAGGAGACACCTGCTGAGACGGGGCCCCTACATTAGGGAGGGAAAGGACCCCCTCCCACGACGGGGAGGGGGCGTCATGCTCAAGACGGGTCATGCATGTAGAAAGCTGGGGCAAGGGGGTGTTCCTGGCCCCGATGGTGAAGTCGAGACCTCTGCGATCAGGACCTGGGTTCGAATCCTGGCTCTGACGCTTGCTAGTGTGGCCCCGGGCAAGTCGCTCACCTTCCCTAGGCTGCAGTTTCTTCCTTGTCTGTAAAACGGGAATAGAGTCGTTCCCGCCGCCTGTTACGATTAATTATCGTCCTCGTCTTCATTTCACCCCTCAGGAGGATTGTCAGACTTAGCAAACAGTGATATAGGAAACCCCGTTAAATTTGAATTTCAGAGGAGGAGTGAATACGTTTTTGGTATAAGTATGGCCCACGCAACATTTGGGACGTGCTTACACTAAGAAATTATTCGGTTGACCTGAAATTCATATTTAACTGGGCAACCTGTGTTTTGTCTGCCCCCCACCCCCCCCCGCCCGGCTTTGCGACTTTGGGATAGCTAAGTTCCTTCTGTGGTTTCTGTATCTAGAAACTGTGGAGGTGGGGGTAGAACGAATGATTTTTAAGTTGCTGTGATTTCCTGAGATTCCTTCAGAAGTCTTGTGGACCCATTCTCTAGACAAGCCCCGCCCCATCTCCAGTCTACGGGCCTCAGTTTCCCCTCAGCCCTTAGGAACACTATTTTCCAGTTTATTTATGTAGCAATGGTGCCACCCAGTGGCTCATCGGAGAAGTGCCCAGAAGACAAACACAAGCCCACTGCAAAGGTCGGAAAAAACACTCAAAGAAATGGGAACAGAAGGTTCAACTCTCTCTGGCAAAAAAATGGTATGATATCATCGATGGTAGAAACACCAATGCCCACCCCACCTTAACCAGGATTTCATGATGATGTCAGGGACTGTCTGCCAAGAGGCAGGAAAAGTACACAGGGAAAGTGACGTGGTGTATTATCTGCAGATGTCTCGCCGGTCTTGTCTGATTTTTACGAACGTGGGGCATGGATCTGCTTCCTCATCTGCCCCGGATTTTCCTGAGTGTCCTTCCTATCTTCCTTTCTTTACTCCTAATAATGACAGCTAACGTTTACGTACTGCCCAAACAAACACTGTTTGAATGTCTTACATGTACCTGCTTAGCACCTACTGTATGTATGACAAGGCCCTGGAATGCAAGGTAAAGGCATCAGAAAAGGTCCTGGCCCCATGTCCTTGCAAAAATCACGCTATGCACGTGCATGAGAGGGTACATGGGAGTATTTAGCACTCACTCACAACTCTGTGAACTGTGGCATATGAATCCCTCCACCTGTTTTGTGCGGCCCACAGGCTATACCAGAATTTTTAAAGATTTTCACATTTTTACATAGCTAAAAAAAAATGAAAGAAGAATAATATCCCATGACATGTGAAAATGATTTGAAGTTCAAATTGCAAGGTCCATAAATAAAGTTATTTTTTTTTGGAGATAGAGTCTTGCTCCGTTGGCCAGGCTAGAGTGCAGGGGTGTCATCATAGCTCACAGCAACCTCAAACTCCTGGGCTCAAGCCATCCTCCTGCCTCAGCCTCTCGAGTAGCTGGGACTACAGATGTGCACTACCACGCCTGACTACTTTTTGTATTTTTTGTAGAGATGGGGGTCTCACTCTTGCTCAGGCTGGTCTCGAACTCCTGACCTCAAGCAATCCTCCCACCTCAGATTTCCAGAGTGCTGGGATTATAGACTTGAGCCACCATAAATAAAGTTTTATTGGAAGACCACTATGCCTATTTGATTAGCGTTGTCTGTGGCTACTTTGGCACTCCAAGGGCAGAGGTGAATAGCTGTGACAGAGACCATATGGTCCCCAACATCTAAAACATCTCCTATCCGAACTTTTACGGAAACTACCTACCTACCTGCAGAGCGCAGCTGCGTACCAGACACCGTTCTAAGTGCTTCGAGTGTGCCAGCTCCTTTAAGACCGCACCGCCTCTAGCGCAGGGGTCTCCTGCTGTCACGGTCCTCATTTTGCAGAGGAGGACACGCTACACAGCGCGAATTCCTCGTTCAAGGTTCTACAACTAGGAGGTGGTAAGAAGCAGGAATTGAACCTGGGCAGTGCCGACACAGTCTGCAATTTTAATAAAAAAAAGAAAATCCTGTACTACAAAGTTAAGTGAAGGAAGTCAGAAAAAGTCTTGTTTTTTGTGTTTTTGTTTCTGTCTGATGGCTACCTTATGCTTGTTGAACACTCAGTAGCAATTTTTTCCCCTGAAATTTTTTCCTTCTGTTTTGTTGTTGGTGGTGGTGGTGGTGCCCCAGTGTCACTGGTAACTTCAAAACATGATTTATCTGCCTCCTGGGCGCCCTGATAACACGTGGGGGAAGTATCAATGTCATCGTCGTTTTACAGAGTGGCAAACTGAGGCCCAGAGAGGGGTGAGCTTCTTGCCCAAGGTCAGGTGAAGGCCACCGTCCTCTAAGACATTTCTGACGGTCCCAGCCCACGGTGTGCAGATGGAGACAGGATTGGGGGAGGGGAGGGGAGGAAGAGGAGGCAGAGGACGTATCTCAAATCCTGTCCTCCTCCGCCCTCCCAGCGCACCTGCCAGAGGTAGACGAAGCAGACCATGATCCAGATGACAGGCAGCCACAGCCCGTTGAGGTAGACGATGCTCTCGGTCACCCGCTGCACGTCCACGGACACCAGGTTGACCACGTCGCCCACTGCGCTGGCCTTCCTGGAACCGCTGGACAGAGCCAAGATCTAGGCAGGGTGGGAGGAAGGAGACCCAAAGTGGAGGCATGGACAGCAAGGGGGCCGTCCTCAGAGCCTCAGTTTACTCATCTGTGCAATGGGTTACTAAAATCTCCTAAGCCAACCTCTCAGGCTGTTGTGAGAATCCAAGGAATTGACGAAAGTGAAAAATACTCTGAAATTCCTAAAGCGCTGGAACGGTAATGAGAACACCAGATTAGCAATAATGGCAGTCACTTGCTGAGTGCTAACTACGTCCCGTGCTCACCACAACCATACGAAGCAGGCACTACCGTACCTCATTCAATCTAAAAAGTTATGGATAAAACACTATGTTTGTATCGCTAAGGAAAATATCATTCCCAATTAAGATATGTAAGAGATATGTTGATTTCAGAAGTATTAAAACATGGAAAAAAAAAAGTGAGACCAGAATCAATGAAATGCACAGTGACTAATCCCATTTTACAGCTAAGGAAACTGAGGCACAGAGAAGTTGAACAACTTGCCCAAGGTCAGAGGGCTTGTAAGCGCCTACAATAGGAACGGAACCCAGGATGACTAAGGCCTGATGAGGACATTTCATGTGCTCTCTGACGCCAACCTGCTTCTCTGGTGGCCTCAAATCTGCCCTAACCCTGGGGTCCCAGTGGACCCCTTCCAGCCTGTTGAATGCTAAGTTCTACATGGAGTCCTCTCTCTGCTGAGTGTGTGAGGGAGTGAAGGACTGAGCCAGGAGTGACTGGCTCACTTAGCAAATCTTTAAAGGGCACCCACTGTGTGCCTCGCACTGAGCTGGGTGCTGAGAACGCAGCCGTGAGCAATGGGGATGGGGGTTTGCACTTGAGGGACTGGAGTCTGAGGTGGGGAACACAGCTCGATACAAACACGTATAATTTATTCTTTAACGGCAGTTACGAGCGCCGTGAAGGAGCAGCCCAGACGGTAGAGAGGAGGACCCTGACCTCGCCAGGAGATCAAAGGCGGCCTCCCTCGGGAGGTCAGTGGGCAGAGCAATGCCGTCGTCGGGAGGTCTTCCTCGTAGGCTCAAGGAAACATCTGGCCTCTCGAGACCGGATAGGGCACACCCAGCTCTGGCGTGCTCGGGTGACACGAGCCTGAAACACAGCGCTCTGGCAGCGCGGCGCCAGGAGCCTCCCTAAAGGCCATCTGGGAGCTGTTCCCTTCGTCCCCTCCTCTCCAAGGCGAGCGCTCAGGCATGACCACGCTACACTATCTCGTAGCAGCAGTCTACGGCTTAGTGTCCACGCTCCCGAAGGGACCGAAGGTCACTGCACTGCAGGTCAGGGGTCATTTTTACCACAAGCAGTGTTGCCTGGCAACACACCTTTATCCAGTCTCCACGCAGCAGAGGGTTAACCCTTTACCCTCATGAGGGTAATTAGATGAGGGGGGTGGGAAGGGTGTTCGGTCGGTGGAAACAAGGGCAGAAGCCCTGAGGTGGGAGGGGGCCTGGAGTGTTTGAGGAACTGCAAGGAGACCTGTGTGGCTGGAAGAGGCTGAGCACACGAGGAGGAAGGTGTGTGTGATGTGATCAGGCTGGAGAGGTTCCAGGGTCAAATCACACAAGGCCTTACAGGAGTAACTAAGGAGGTGAGAATGCAGTGTGAGCGACTCTGAGTAAGCAAGAACCTAGTGCACACCCGGCCACTGATAACATCACTCCCAGCCCCGTGACGCCCCCCCCTTGGCTGGGAAGGCCCAGCCGCCCCCCAGGGGCTCACCTTTCTGTACAGCAGGCCGGTGATGGCCGTCCGCAGCCGCATCTGCAGCAGCTTCAGCCTGTACATGTGCTGCTGCTCGAACAGCGTCTGCAGGCAGGCCGAGAGGAACATCAGCGCCGCGAGGAGGTAGCCCTTCCAGGCCGGGGGCTCAGGATCGCCAATGAACTCCAGAAAAAGGCTGTGGGGAGGGAACAAGAAGGGACAGCCGGTGAGAGGAGGTGCCCCAGTGCCGCCTTTGCCCCGTCAGGTGTGGAGGATCAGTCGGTGTGGCTGACTTTTTTGCAAAAATGGCCACAGTCATTTTCCCCTGTGTCCACGCTCCCTTTTATTGTAACTCCGAAGCTCCTCCGATCAAGAGGTGGAGCTTTTGTCCCCACCTGTCGAGGGCTGAATTGTGTCCCCACAAAATCCACATGTTGAAGCCCTCAACCCTCCATGTTGCAGAATGGGACTATACTCAGAGATTGGGCCTTCATGTGGGTGATTAAGTTAAAACGAGGGCCTAGAGTGGGCCCGAATCCAGTCTGGCTGGTGTCCTTGTAAAAGGAGGGAATCTGGACACACACGGTGACACCAGGGGCACACACAGGGCAAAGACCGTCTGAGGACACAGTGAGGAGGACGACATCTCCAAGCCAGTGAGGGAAGTTTCAGAAGAAACCAACTTGCAGACACCTGATCTTAAACTTCCAGCCTCCAGAACGGTGAGACAACACATCTCTGTTGCTTAAGCCACCCAGTCTGTGGTGCTTGGTCAGGGCACCCGGCAGACTCTAAATACACCACCCCTTGAATCTGGACTGGACACACAACTGGCTTTGGCCAACAGAACAGAGCAGAGGTAAAAGTGTGCCAGCTCTGAGCCTAGGCCTCCAGAGAATATGCAGAATTTGTTCTATTCTTATAATCCTCCCAAGTGGCCACATGAACAGCCTGAACTAGTCTTTTGGAGGAGAGGAGACGAGCCCATCCTCCACAAGAGGAGCAGAGATGAGCCATCCCAGCCAACCCAGCCAAGGAAAGAAGAACCGCCCAGCTGAGCCCAGCCCAAATTGCTGACCCACATTACCATGAGCTAAATAAAT